ACATGCTGGCTCAATTTACTTTACCCAGAGAACACAGTTTTGATACCGCCAGCCAACATAACGTATGAATATTGATTCTCTGGGTAACCCACACATCTCGTTGCTAAAATACAACGGAGCCATGGGCTGTAGTATTCAAAGTCTTTAGAAGCAAGCAAGAGTACAGCGCGATTAACGGTTTGAATGTGGAGAAGCGACACTTACATGTTATGCTGACCTGCGGTATTCCGAAGTACTTTTGATACTATACCCAGAATAACATGGCATTCTTCATTACGTATTTTAATCAGCATTTGAACGGGCTGTTTTTTAACGCAGCAACGTGCGGATTTGCATCCATGTCCTACAGATGCTTCAATATAAAACAACTTAAAATGAGCCCCTACGTCTCTGGTACATAAATAAATATAAAGCATTTTCAACATATTAGGACAATATATTTCTTTTTCAGTATAATTATTAGCGATTTGCTGCTCGTCGTAAATACAACACACTAATTTGAAACTAGATATTACTTTAGCATGTTTCAGCAAACAATGCTGACCATCCATGAAAAGCAGTGAAATACGAAGTCGATAAACATATAAAAGGTAGCATAACATAATCTCAAACAGTCAATGGTAGATGAAGTTACAACTATTGTCATGTTGAACGCGTCACTAAGTTCAGTACCACTATATATCAAATATTAGTTACTCTCGATCCACACTAACATCGTTACATAACGTTGCATAACTTCAGAAAGCAACTGTCTGATGAAAATGCTAATCTACAATCTTAACGAAACAAGTCATGAAAGATTTCATCTATTCCTGTCAGAAGAAATTTGTTTCAACTTATAGATCTTAGAAAAAAATAACTAATCCATTAATAATCAGACACAAAATTAAAAAGAATTTCAGTAATCGAAAGTTAATGCTCAATCAAGACCCAGCAGATAAGAGAATCTTCTAGCTCAATGTTTAAAAGGATTTTATACCAAATAGTGAATCAGAAGGCAGCTTTGGCGCATGACTTAAATTTTGACCTTAACCTCACAGGCCTTTAAAATGATTAATGGTAATTCCGGCTTCAAGACATCGCTGGCTGAAAGTATCTGTCGTATCACAAGTTAATACACATGAAAATCACGAATAATGGGCATTCACGTTTTACGAGGGTCGAAGAGTACGATATCATTCGTCATTTTGGGATGCAGGTCGCAACAAAGGTTTTTAATATATAATGTTGAAACATGTAGTAAAAAATTCTAAATTCTAAAACTACGAATGATTTTGTATTTCAATGGCTGGGTGCTTATGCCAACAAATACTGCATAAGAAGACTTCTATTATTGGCTACTGACTAGTTCTTTTTTTATACCTGGGGGGAGTAGCTGGTAGAGTAGAACAAAGATTGATTCTACTAACGGTCGATGCGTTTACCGGTTATGTCAACGAAATGCATCGATCAATAGTGAAATATTTGCATCTTCGTTTTATTCTTCGCTGTACCAACTATATTGATGATTTATTGACCCAGGATCGAAAAATATTTTCAGTTTCATGACTCGCTAAAACAGGTACATTAAAGCACCAGCAACAAAGTGACCACGTTTCAGTTCGTATCTCATAAACGCATCTTCAGTAAGATAAGCTCGAATGGTATTACACGGCAGTAGACAAATAAACAATCATTTCGACCAAGCCAGCGAGGAAAACATCCGAATGCTGGTTTCGTTTCAGTTTAAATGAAATTGAAAATTTGAATATGTTACATGGCGTTATTCGCCGTTAAAAACTTAAAGAACTTCACGCAGTACCTAGCGCATACAATTTATCGGCACAAAAATGAATCTGAGGTGCGAAGAAGGTAATAAAGCAAATTATGTTAACTTTGCTGGGAACGTTGACGAACAGGTAGCGACACAAATGCTCATTTTAAAAGATGTATCATAAAACGGCACGGAAGCGTTATCTGCCTACAGCGCTTAATCTAAAAGAAAAACGGAACTCGGGAACACCTACTCAGGCCATCCTTCGAACGTGGAAACGACGAAAAGTGCCACCATCGCGTGCTGAACGTTGTCGAAATTGAAGTCGTTGTTCTGCCACTCTCGGTTTCGGACCTGCGGGTTGTTGATATCCCCGCCTTCGTAGTTGATGTAGCTTCCTCTGAAAATTCGAAGGGTGGCAAAAAGATGGGAGCATCAATCAAATTCGCAATTGAATCAACCTGCACTCCTTCATGGTCATTTTTGATGGATCATTGCAACGGAAGAATGTGCCCTTGAACAACTGGACCCCGATGATCGCGAACATGAATTGCAGCATGAATGTCACCAGCATTATGTTGCCGATGGTTTTGACGGCAACGATGACGCACTGTACGACGTGCTGAAAATCCAACATGACAAAAGTATGAGCTGCAAATACAAAATTCATAAGCTGCAGCAACTATAAGTATTAATATCAGGTCATGGCAAAATACGCGGAGAAGGTGAACAACCACCACCTGAACGACTTTAAAATCTGCCTTAAAATTTGCTATTTTGTGTCATTTCCTATGCATTATGTTCCATGGCTCAACAGTGCAAAAGGCTTACACATATTAATAAACTTCAAATAAGCAAAGATGCAAAATAATGCGACAGATGTTAACTGGGCGAGGTACTGCGAGAAGCCAGAGCATCGCCTGAATCGGTAGCAAGGACCTCTATACAGAACACTACTATGGTGATGAAGACTTAAAGAAATGTCCGCAACCGTTAGGGGGTCGGCCTTCGTAGCATTTCCACGACGAAAGGTAGATGAGATATGATTAGGAGCCAGTGATGGGAAGCTGATTTCCATTTGGACGAAATCAGCCAGCAGTATTATGTTAAAGGAAATATTCAATGAGAGACAGCTGAGAGAAGGAACAAGAAGCGTCATGCTGAACTTTAATAAACAACGGCTCATTTGAATACTTTTAATGGAATTATCCCCGGTCGTGTGATTCGATAAAATCCCGCAATCGTTCATATTTGTAATTTTAGCGTTTTACCGACTGCACTACCATTACATACATGATATACTGCTCATTAAATAGTTCCATAATCTTACTTTAACATAACAGCAATAAATCATTAAGTGCTTTAAAGCAGAGTTTCCAGTTAATCTATCACAGACTCTGTTGAACATTCATGAATTGATATGGACCCTTTATTTCTTAGCTAAGATCGAAGGATAAACATCGCCCATGATACATTTTTGGTCACGGCACGATTATTTATATGCATAAAGCATTCCACTCACCTTCAATCCTTTTGCGCGATTGATCGCTCTTAGCGGTCGCAACACCCTGAGTACTCGAAGAATTTTAACAACGCTTATGGCACCACTTCTAAAACGGAGCACGTTTACTGACGACTAATGACGAAACGTTTACCAACTTTAAGCCAAAAGATGTCAGCGACACACCAACCACAAGCATGTCCAAGAGGTTGAACGCATTGCGACAAAACGATCCTTTGTGTAAAACTAACCCGTAAACCAAAACCTAAAACAACAGTCAGGCGATCAAAGGAACTTGCATAACAACTGTATAAAAACATAACGTTGTCGAATGTAGAAATACAGCAATAATAAATAACAACTACAAATGTCATCAACTGTTCAAAGGGACCACACTACTATGGTAATATCTCCTAAAAACAATGATCAAATACTGCCGTGTCTTTCACGTCTTTCCACGAGTGGTCATTCGTCCACTTTCAGAACAAATACAGTAACATATAAAGATCTTGTCAAACACAAACAATATAATACGACAGTGATTTTTAACCCATATGTCCGGGTATGAATTCAGAGTGCCATTCTCGTACAGCAAACATACCTACGAACTCAAGGTGGCCCTCTCAACTCTGGAGGAAAACAAAAGCCTCATCAACGGCCTTTGACACGTAACTGCCCGTCAGTAAATACTCAATGATATTTCACCTAATCATGCGACGCTGTATTCTCCTCGTCGTCGGCGTTATTCTCTCTATGCCACGTTGATGCAGAGGATGGATAGTGGAAAGCAAAAAAAAACAGATTATATTTAAGATGCACTGATTCGATGACAAATTTTAACTATTAATTTTTAATCTCAGAGAATACGAGGCAGAAAAAACCACGGAAGTAGCTCTCGCTGTGGGCGTAGTAAAAAGCCATAACCATAATCATCACAGTTTTAATGTGAAGGCTCGCCAGCTTTGATAATAAGCAGGTGATCGAACAGCTTTGAATGATGAGAAAATACCAATAAGTTGACTGCCAATTTTGCATCCCTAAGATAGCTGTCGATAATTCGAAACGCCATATCAACGTACTTCGCATTTTTGTCGCATCAAAAAGATAACGTTTAGAAAGTCATGTGCACAGCGCGTTGAGTAATACATGAATAACTGAAAATCTACGTAACAGAAAAGTGCTTACTTTCAGCGAAATTTCGATTGTGAAAACTGTCGTGAAAAAGTAGTCGAAATAGTTAAGTACCTGCAATTGAATTAATTGGACAGCATGTAAGAGTAGAAACGACCACAAATTCCGCATGCTTACCTCGTTACGAAAAGAGCTAGCTTGCAATGGGTCCTCGGCAGCAAGCATGGCGCTGGAAACTAAGATGCAGATAAGTACAGCGTTTGTAAAGTAGGAATGATTGATGAACCTATTACAATAGACCCGCAACCTGTAAATGAAACAAATTAGAAAAAATATAGCGGCACAGTACAATGGATAACAAGTGGATCCCATGTACAATGGCTTACTCTATCCTATGATTTAATTTAAAGCCACGGAATCATTTACAGTTCCCAATTGCCTCTTAAAGCGTAGCTAGGGTTGTGAGGCCGAAAACACAACGGAGTTTCAAGATCTTCAGAGAAAGCGAACTTTCAAAAAGAAATGTAATTGGAGCAGCCCCACACAAGTATCAGATAGTGTACTATATCATATTATTTTATTATGATGCAATACGATATAGTAAAGGGTAGCAAAACTGTGGCATAACAAAATACATCGCAATGCAGCCATGGAATATGTCGGCCACAGGTCAACCTCATTCTTGACGAATTGTTATTGTACTTAATTTTGCTGTGAAGCACATGTTATACCATAATGTGATATATTTGTTTAATACAGTACAAATAGTACAACAGTATATCAGTACTGAACAGTACAGTATATCACTGCATAGCATACCGCAATGTATAACATTACATCACGCCATGCAATACTTCAATGAAGTATATAAATACAACGCTGCGTGCGTATACAGACTGACAGAATACTGTGTTTCTTTCATAGGGTAAACTACAGTGTACCGCAGCGAACACCATATAGCAGGTGACGGTAAAGAACATCACTGCACATATTCGTGAAGTGTAATATATCATATTCCATATAATATTCACTACAGTATAAGGAAGCAACGGGGAAGTTAGTCACCACTGGAATGTAGGTCTTCATTCACGTTCATGACTGGGTCCTTTCGGCACGCATCCATTCACGAAATTGATAATGCGGTGCTGACCACCGTTTCTATGTCATGAGCTAGGAGTGCCTTCTTTTTTTGAAAGGCCAGAGCAGCAAGCGTAGCGCGTAGTCTAACGATTCCTTCTAACAGAGTGATACTCATTTACCGACACGGGCTTGAACTCGCGACCTATCGGTTGTGAATTGGATGCATTATCGACTGAGCAACCCCGGTCCGAAGTAAATGCACGGTAAATTCCTTTCTCAGGGAATTCGTGAATACTACTAATACTGCCCTTGAGCACAATCGAACCAGCAAGTCCGAAGTTCGAAGAAGATCTCTTTAGACACTGCGACAACATGCCATTACAATATACAGTACCATAATGTATGATAAAAATTATATGCTCTAATCTGTATGCACTGAACATTACAAAATTACAAAAACACGTTGATTTGATTGAAATCTATTTTTTTAAATGCAATCAAATGTAATATCGCCTAGCCTTTTGTACGGACTTAAGAATAACTATAAAACTGTGATAGCTTTCGAGCGATAAACTACAAAATTAAAACAGGTGAATATGCAAAGAACAACGGTGTCCAATGTTTGGTTTATGGTCATCTATGATTTTACGGGTTCACTTACGGGTTCGTCGCAGAAAATATGAACAGCGAAGACGCATTTGGAATTGCTTTAACTTTCTTTGGAATGTTTATTTCGGAAATACGATGCGGTCGAGCGGTCAGTTGGCACTCTGCGTGTTCGATATATCCGCTGTACTGATCTGCTTGATTCGTATCGTTTCCGTCTGCGTCTGTAAGCATGAAACATCAAGCAATAACGATGCACATAATGCATACTGTTGTCTTCAAATGACTTCATCTGTGTTTCCGCGTTCGGGTACACGTCACCGAATCTAAACACACAATAACATAATAGAAACTTTAACACAAAAACAGTACATAAAGACAACGATATGGAAACACAAAGACAGCGGTGACAAAAAACTGCGCAACAGTAATTCAACGCCAATGCAAAGTTAAGTCGAAATATGGGTCTGTTAGGTCAGGATGAGATGTTTTGATGCAGGCTGCTTTGTCGCAGATCCGTGGTCAGTAAGAGCGCAGTCTATCGATGACCGCCTTTTTTTCGACCAATTGCTTTCTGTGAGCAAAGTAGGAAACTTTAGTGGAACTCGTGAATTTCGAAGATTTACGCTTTATTCTTCCATCGTAACTACTTCTTTCGATGATTCAAACAAAACCTTATTGGCAGCACGAATCTCAGAGTAAATGCAAGCATCTGGCGTAATTCTCACTGAGAAATATGTTCAATAAGGCGATCTACATGGCACACTCGAAGTGATTAATTATAGTAAAACGGTAAATGTTGTATCTACCTCAAGGAATATGGAGGAGCTACTTGATAAGTTTCGTAAAATGCAGAAAGCATAGAGATTCTCGGCAAGAAACTTACTTCCGTTCATCAACCTGTAATTAAGTTAAACAAGTATCGTGTAGCAGAAAACAGCATAAATACTATAAGGGACTAACGTAAAAGATACGGCAAGATATCTCCGTGCAAAACGCATAACTACTAATGGCGAAATGGTGCAATATGTTAAAACGCGACATCATTTACTGCTGATAAAGGAACACCGTTTCCGAAGGTTTCGAGTCAATTCAAAGTGATTTATGGACTTACTAACGCTCTATGTGTTAGTCTTCGTTACTTCTGAGTAATTATGACTCTGGACAATTATGAGTTTCAGAACTGATGCACTTTGGCTGCACATTAACTTTTACATGGCAAAAAGTCATTTTTCTTGCATGTCAATTTTTACAACGTTACTCGATTTTGACGAGTTTAATACGTTAGTAGTCCTTCTTAATGGGCACCTTGGTAACACAACTTTTAAAACGTGGCAGTGGTAAAATTGAAGGGCTTTATGTTATGCTCTGTCGACAGCTGGACTGGAGAAACTAAATCAGTTTCAAATGTGTTATGTATTATACGTGGACACGTGCTCAATGTAAACGATGAACCCGCAATGGCATCATTGCCCTGAATTAGTTACGGCACGTAGTCACCACCTTTGAACTATGCATTAAAACATAAATAGTCGAAATACATATGCTTAGCAAAAGTTTGGTATTGGCTCAATAAGCGTTTGTCAATAAAATGTAATCAGATGAATAAAATTCAAAAGAGTATAGAGATAGCCTATGCAGACTGCATACATATGTGAAACAATCATCACGATGGAATACATCAATCAAAATAAGATAAAATTTCATTGTACTCATTACCGCGCATCGTAAGGAAGTCGTAACCATTTACGACATTCGGCAAGTCTAATCAAAGTATGCCGAAAGCGAGTTTTTTATTTACATGCAATATGATGGGTTACGTGAAATAACTGATAGAGGGGGATATTTGCCAACCTCACAGATCCAAACTGGCGGCCAATGGATAGTGCGTCGAACAGCAGTCACCAATCTGCGCGAACATAAGCATTGAACAAAATCTCACACAATGAATCTGCGTGAAGTATGGACTAATGTTCAGGAACGAAGTGTGTGACATGACCTTACATCCTCAACAATCGCTGAAACGAATAATGAAACTCTTGACTTGTACATCCGTTGCAAACGGCTTGTGAAAAGCATCTTCGAAAATCTGTACCCACGTAAGAAAAGGAATGAGTTCACGAAGTTGTTTCTAAGTAAGCCTTAATGACACCCCTACGGAAAACCGCTATAAGTGGTGAAAAAACAGTCCACCGAGACTCTCATTACCTCATTAAAAAGGGTAGGCATATCTTCTTACGCGTGCACATGGGCCTCACCTTTATAACCTATTTCTTAAACATGAACATTAAGTTCGACACAATAATTATTCATAATGCCTTAGAAGCTCCCCCCGCATTCAACTACGTGCTCTCTACGAGCTGAAGTCAAAACTGTACAACAGAAGATATGTGCTTACTCATTATCGCCAAACTCCTGCTTCTCACATATAACCTCTTGCAGGTTGCTATCTTCAGGCTTGTTTTCGTCGTCCTTTTCTGCGGCAGTCAGCGACTCAGCGTCGGCTAGGTTGTCCACGGCGATGGCCAAGAAAACGTTCAACAAGATGTAGTTACCACAGATGAACAACACGATAAAGTAGATACAGACGATAATGCCGGCCGACTTCACTCCACCATAAGCGTCGATTCCGTTGTACATGACTGCGTTCCAATCTTCGCCTGTCAACACCTGTGAAAAACTGAAATAGAATCATACCGGTAAAAATCTGCTACAACAGAACTCGGGACTATACAAATTAATTCGTTATACTAAAATTTCGTTAGAATGAATAGAAAAAAGAAAAGAAATTACAAACCCATTTTATTTTAAAAAAATAGTCATACAAATGCAAATAATCACTACAAAACTCCATTTTCTGATCAAAATTTCCGTCATTTTCAATTGTGCTATATCTTTAGTAGTACCATTAACATGAAATTTTACATACCACTACAGAAAAATATTTTCTAGGATATCAGTAGCAGAGCAAGAATAAGCACAAGTTTTTTACAGGCTGTGTAAAGCTTCTGGGAACGAAATTTTTCATTAGGTGACTCAACAGCAGCTTCATCGTCATCTTCGGTCTCAAATATTATATCGGCATTACATGAAGACTTCTGTACATTTTTAATAATTTCCTGGCCTGTCATTTCACTTGCTGTCAATCAATTGTCATATGCATTTATATAATCTTCTTTATTTATTCTGTCTGGAACTTCCGTAGTAGCAGCTACAGAATTCCACATTTCTCTGAATTCACGCTCCACTTCCGTTCGTCTTCTGTATTGCAGTTGTCTGCTTTTCAAGACCACTATGTGCAAGTACTAAGGTCTTCTTTCAGCAGTTTAATATGGGTGACTATCTTGCGTAACACCGTGCCACAGCGATCATATCAACTGCTTTTTAATATCAAATTTTTTTATTCTGTCAAATTAATTTTTGAACAATTTTTTGATAAATTGACTCCTGTCATGCATTTTGACTTGCACGCATGATTCCTAAGTCCAAAGACTGCAAGACTGCTGTACAGTTAACAAGAAAAAAATTCGACTTCTAATTCGAGTTCCAACGAGTTCTAATTCACATGTTTAAATCATGTGCCGAGCAATTATAATCAAGAGAAGGATTTTCCCTTTCTGCTTTTTCATTTATGAAAGCCAAGTTTTTTGTAATTCGTTAAATACTGCTTGTATCATCCACATACGTTTGTTTGCAGTAGTCGAATATTCTCGAAAAAGATTGTGTATCTTCCGATAATCAGTGGTTTCAATTTTCCTGTTCCGTTGCAGAAAAACAAGGCAGTCAAGTGTCATTTTGATTTCTTCACTCACCTGCATCGACCTCCTTTTACAGTGAGTGAATGATATCGAACTAACTGATACAGCATCCGTCTCATCAGCATTAAAATTATCATTGATATTCTATTCTGTGATGATCACTGTAATTTCACCTGCACGCCATTCGTTAACTTGATCCTGTGGTACATCATTCTCTTCTCCACGGATTACCCTGTAAGCATTTTATATCATTCTCTAAATCTACTGAGCCATTCAACACTTGCTTGAAAATTATCGTGCTCCAAGTTCCTCAAAATCTAATGCCATTTCGCACATGACTGAATCATTAATAAGTATACATCTAGACCGAACATCTTGTAACAATAGAAAAAACAGCTTTATCCATATCATCATAGACGGCGTTTCGAACCTTCTTTCCTTAAGGTCCTAATGCTCTCCTTAATCTTTTCAAATTTTAGACAATATGAAGCAGCAATACCAAATTCTTTCGCAACATCGGTTTTGCTTTACCTAGTGTCTGTTATTTCCCAAACAGCCATCTTTCCATTTTATGTAATTTTTCGTCGTTTCTCGATCTTTTTTTAACATAGTGACGGCCTTTGCAATACTGAAAATGGCACAGGAGTTATTTATGCGGGAGATGATATCGTATGTGGATAAGTCAATACAAGTTACGTATGTATGCGTAAACTCACAAACAATGTCTTTGTAATAAAAAGTTACTTAAATCACTTTGGTATCAGCAATAATTTTAACTATAAACAGCACAATATATAAAATAATTCGCAAGACACGGTGAAAATACACTTAAGAGAACTAACATTAACTGCGTCATCGCAACGAGGAAGGGTACTCACGTAACACTTTTAGCTGTCGATCAGGTCAGCAAAACACAAGAGACTCAGCCAACAGCAGAATAAAGACACGTGTTTCGACAGCTAGGCTGTCACTTTCAACTGTATCAGGATATTAATTGTTGTAAGTACAACATGCAGTACGCTCGAGCAGCACGTATTTCAAACCTGAGCAATCCTATGCAGGTAATAACTCTGAATAAAGTAATTAAAATGACAAAAATATTTGAAATATTTTCCTTCTTCTAATCTGTTTTATTATTTGTTCATTTTATAATGGATTATTGTATTAAACTTTAGGTGACACCTAAACATCGTTCGGCGATGCCGCAGAGACCTAAAATAGCTGAATTTAGTCCAATGGGTGCCCTGTACCTATCTACAGCAAAGATAAACGTTATCGATGTCTGTTTTTGTGTACGTACGAAAATAATTTTATTTTTATCGGCGATAAATGTTCGTTATACTGAAATTCTCATTTTGTTATAACGAGAACTATTTAATATACTTTATAAAGTAAGTGTTTAAAGCATCAGAAAATTGTTCGTTATAGTGAAAATTTAGTTACTGCGGAATTTGACCTGACCTGGTTTATGAGAATAGGCTTCGAAAAAAGCATATCTAGTCAGCGTTGGAGCTTCATGGACGTTAAAACAGGATTCTGGTAATAAAATACAAAATAATTTAACGTTTCGCACAGCTGGGAAAGTGTGTGTGTGTGTGTGTGTGTGTGTGTGTGTGTGTGTGTGTGTGTGTGTGTGTGTGTGTGTGTGTGTGTGAAGGACCGGTGTGGTGCTGTTTCTCTCGCAAGTCCACCTTGCTATACCTCAGAGGAGAAACATGAAATGGTCGCCCTAATGCTTGTTTTCACTTAATTTCACACTGTAAATTTTTCCATTACTCCCTTGTCATTAAAACATTTGTCGTACGACTTATTTCCTATGGCGATCACCGGGTGGGTGGCTAGTTTGTCTAGCACGTAAGAGGGAGATCTGCGAGAACGGTGTCACCGTGTCTGAGAAGGTAAACGTTTTCTTTTATGGTGACAAGAGGTCAACTATTCGAGTAGTGTCTGAGCTAATTATCACGCTGAATTTGCTCTCATTAGCGGCCTCTCCAATAAGAGACGCATATCTTTGAGTGACCCAGTTAAGCACAGGTGCAACAATTTTCACCAGGCACCTGCTCGAGGCTGCTCTTCGGATCCACAGGCTACGTCCAATTGGTTGACGGTGCGACATACGTCTAAATATGTCATGGAAGGAGATGGTGATGTGCGGTGCACCCTGAATATTTACAATATTGTGTGACTAGAGATAATGAATTTATAGGCCTAAACGGCAGTCGCCAGTTTGTCAATAACTGCCACATCATTCAATTAATCGTGAGAAAAGCATGGGATCAATAGGAGTTCTTGACATTCCTGCGTTAATTTTCTGCAACCACTACAAAAACAGTAAAACTTTGTGAAACACGATTCGGTCAGTCAGCTAACGAAGTCTCGATAGGAAAACCGTGGAGATAGTGTCCTCATCTTTTAGCTGCCAATCTATTTGGATTAGAAGCATAACATAAGCAGCAATCCATGTTTGAGGAAGGGGCAGATAAAAAACAAAGTATTCAGGCAAATATTACTTGCATCCGCGACCCGAAAGGAGAAGCGGCGATGGAAGATGAAGATGAAGATATTACTTGCAGTCACCATAAAACTGAAGAAAAATGTGACAAATCCATCTCGGTCAGCCGTATAACGAGACATGATGGTGAAAGAAGAGGAACGAGAATTTCAGTTTCTTGCTAGTGGCAAGTTTATTCCACTCGAATCTGATGCATAAAAGTCTAAAGAAGCTGATACCTAGCGGATGGAAAGTGCGGAACGACCCAAACGTCCAATGAAATGCACTATATTCAGCCAGTGCAGAAACAATAATAGCATCAGTAACAGATACGGTTTCGTAAGTCGGTTAACGAAACCATGGGGGAGAATTAAGAGTCAATGAACTTGCTGTTAGCCGAAGACGTGACGAAGAAGTATCCGTAGTCACAACCACAACATCGCTACTCAGTCATTCACCGTCAACTTGAAATTGTCGTTCGAAGTAGTATTTGCTGTAATTACCACCCCCGCCCAGTCACATAAAACCGCAAAACATTACTTAGAAGCCAAAACTCTACTCTTCCACTGATCGACAGATCTTAAACTGAAGCAAAACGAACACTTTAAATCAATATTAGTTGTACAGTACCTGGAATACAGTCAAAAGGGATTGTACGAACGAATCGAAGTTAGCCCTGGGCTTGACCATGGTGACATCAATCGTATTGAACTTGCCACCAAACAGCTGCATGCCGAGCAATGCGAAAATGACAATAAAGAGGAACAGCAACAGCAACAGTGACGCGATTGATCGTAGCGAGTTCAGTAACGATGCGACGAGGTTGCGTAGAGAATTCCAGTACCTAAATGAACGACATGCACAGATCATCCAATCTATAGATATAGTGATACACCCCGCTCATTTTCCCAAACACATACACACAGTAGCAACACTAATTACTTGGTAACTTTGAAGATTCGCAGAAGTCGCGCTGATCGCAGCACGGAAACACCAAGCGGTTTCATCAATCCGGCAAAAGTTAACGCAAATTCCAAAATCGAACTAATCACTACGAAACAGTCGAACCGGTTGAACAGAGCGACAAAATAGTTGACGAAGCCAAGGGAATAGATCTTCAGGAACATCTCCAGTGTAAAAAGGATGACGAAGAAGAGATTTGCAATTTCTAAATGCGTACAAGGTAAAAACTTTGATGGCGATATGATGCGGAAGATTTAACAGCGCGGTGCAATTGTTCATTTTTCGTCGCTTGTCATACAGTACATATATACTGTATACATTTCCACTACAGCAAGGGAAAATTCAAACAGCCGGTTGAAGTCCTGTCAAGAAAGTAGACTGCCTGCTGCAAGTTGGAAACTGTCCCTTTACATTGCCATGTAGGAAATCACAACATATATTCCTTGAAGAATAACATGTAGAAACACAAATTTACATAGTTTTTTAAACAAAGTAAACATCTATATTTGGAAACTTGGAAAAATCCCATATTCTGAACAGCATGCGTGCAGAAGCTGTCCGTAAGTGCCAGTAAAGCATGTTTTCACGCAAGCCTATCAATGGATTTGTTACCTGTCTATACAAGTTGGAGACGTCTGTAGTTGAAATAAAAAATTCGTTGAGCTCTCAAAGATTTAAAGATCAGCAGGCAACATTTTCGAGTTACCATGTGCATCAAAAAATTTATCTCTGAGCTGCACGACATCTCGGATGCGTGACCTTAGTTCCTCAGCTGATACGTGGTTCATAAGCCCAACAAACTTTAACTTTCATATGCGCATAATCGCTGCAATGTTATAAAACACGAAAACCATGAGTTCTGACGAGAGAGTTCGTTCATAAGAGCATAACCACTATAGAACTGCATTTCACAGCAATGCTACCGTCACCGATAACTGGGAAGTATTTGACAATCCGTAATTCAACTCGCATTGTTTCATTTTTCTGAAGTAAAACGTCTCCCATGACATACGGTATTGCACAAGTTAACGAGCATTTCATATGCAGTCTCTAGTCGTTAATATGAGTCTACATAATTCGCATATGGCTATCTGCTCCCACTGTGTGACTTATGTTGCCAACAATGAATAGCTGCTTGTGGCTAACTTGCTTCTACCAATCTAGTATCCGTCTTTTCAAACAAATATCGAAAAACGAATAAAAAACCAGTACTGTGCATGAAGAGTAAAACAAATATAACACAGAACATAACTATGAAATGATGGAATTAAGCAATGGTAAATTTTAAATGACAAAGAAACGTGTTCTCATTTAATTACGGTTCTTATAAAATACTGTCCACTGTACGCCGTACTGTGTTTATGTTTCTGAATCCGAAGCAGCGAGAGTGCGCACAAATCTGCAATCATCAGTCGGACTGACTTGGCCGAATAACTTCTGTCATCTGCTACATGAAAACAATGATACGATAATAGCAGCATTGGCTGACTGAACAGCCTAGTAGTCGCCGAAAACTGAATACAAGTAAAAGTGCTAATTTTTGAAACTGATCAAGTTTCACTGATCTTTGTAAAGAACAATAAGGTTCATTGAAAACGTTTGCCTGGTTTTTTGATATCTAACTTTCATGTCCTGCGCTTTAATTGTTGCCCAAAACTGGCTGTACATGTCATATAACGTTACGTTCACCGTGACTTAGCGTTTCTTTCTTCTGATGTGCCGCATATCATTTGAATTTTTTCTGCATGGATTAACACAGAAAGGCAAAATATCTTGCTGTTGGCACTTTATGACTACAAAATGGGGAGTCGAGCGACGGAGCCAGCCCAGAATATGCAAACAGGTTTGGCGATCATGAATCGAAAGAAATAACAGTGCAAACATGATTTTCGAAATTCAAGTCTGAAGATGCAGTGTTCGATGATCAACGTAGAAGACAACCCTTTAGCTCCCATAGACGATCACCTGAAGGAGCTGGTGGAAGTCGATCCCAGAAGGTTTTATGTAGATTTAGAAGAGCTAGTCATTAATCATGATACCATGTGGCATCATCTAACGCAAAATAGGGAAGACGAAAACCTGATCAAGGGGTTTCCCCATGAACTGTCAGATCATCAGATAATGACACGTGTTGAGGCATGTTCGTTGCTCCAACTGCGAAACAAGAACAAACCTTTTCTGGATCACGTTGTCAAACGTGACAGAAAGGCTGAGTGGCTGAACAAACACGAATCTCCTCGACGTAGCTTCATCCGAAGGAGCAAATGGCTGAAGTTTGGTGGTTTGCCGTCGGAGAAATCTGCTACAGTTTCTTAAGGTCTGGTGTTGCGATCACAGAGGAGTGTGAAGAATAGACTTCAGAGGCTATGTCCATCTGCACGACAACGCCAGGCTGCATATTGCAAGAATGGCCATGCTAAAATTGTACGAGCTGGATATCGAAGTCCTACCTCATTCACCATATCTCACCAACAACCAATCGCTTCTTCCGTCGTCAACATAACAAAATAACATAAGAGAACACCATTCGAGAACAGGGGGCCGTTAAAAACAGCTCTCGGCAGTTTACAGATTTCCGAGATGCGAATTTTTACGTGAGATGCTAGAAACGCATTAGCAAAAATGCGATGACCATAACGATTCTCTTTTATTGAATAAAAATTTTGAATTTCATGTGAGCTAAGCTTCTTTAAGGCAAGCTGTGGAAGCATTCCCGAAAACCGAATAAAACTCAACAAATTGAAAAAACAACATAAAACGCGCTTCCTGTGAAAATATATTAATTGTGTTGTGTATTAATAAAACGTGTTTTAAGCTGTTTCTTCAGTCTCGCTATCAATGCACGAACGAAATACTGTTTTTAACACATTCAGATAAGTGAAACAGAAGTAGAGATAGACATTTGCAAATTTTACGTATAAAAACATGTCACAGAATAATGTAGCAGCTACAAAGAAATCAAAATTGAAAAGCAAATCTTCCAAATTCCAAAGTTTGACATAAATTTTACCATGTGTTAAAGAAAAAGTAACCAACTGGTCACGACAGATAAATCGCACCGTGGGTACAGACAGACATATGCGAATCATGCGGATTCAAACTCAAGCCCGAATTGCCCTGACAAATAAGTGCATGGGGATGGGCAGTGAACCGCGCAATCATGTTTTCGAGCAATTACGTACCAACGTCACAGAATGCATTATGAAGTAAAGTTACATGATATTCAATGCGAATACTGTGAACACAAAATCTCACCTTGAAACTTATCGAGCCAATCTGGTTGCCCATAATGTTCCGACGTCAACACCATTGTGTTCAAAAACACCAGCACTATAACCAGCCAATAGAACGCCTGAGACTTGACCAGCTTTCGGCAGAAACGTCGACAACGCCTGTTCAGTTTCTTGATTCTACGAATTCGCTTAAGCCACCAGCTCTGGGTTCGGAACTCTTCCTTTGAGCCCTCGTCCGTTGCTTCACCTTCCACTGGTTCTAAAAGAGACAGAAGAGTGAACAATGCTAATTTTCGAAACGCAGCGTTAGCACCTTCTCGAGTCGTACTTTCCGTCTCTTCTTCCTCATTTACCGGTTCGATGTCTTCTAAAATAGCGCTATAATGGTATCCGTTATCTGCAAGATCATTAAGTCGTACCCGCCTGTGTGATCCAGTCGAGGTAACCCTTTAGATCGTCTTCCAGCTGCTGCTTTTCTCGAAACTTCTGAAACAGGCCCCGGGCACGTGCTTTTTCCCGTTCCTTCGAAAACTCCCTGGAACAGCACCAGAATTTCGTTGATCCGTAATCATATCGCATCATCATAAAAGTCGTACCCACTCAGGACACCGAGCACAAGGTTTAATACAAAAAATGATCCCAATATAACCAGCGTAATAAAATAGATCCACGGCCATTCACATCCAACTGCGTCGTTTACCTAAATTGCATTTGTTAATCAAGTGACGCCAAGTAGGTGCCAATCCGAAAAAAACTGTTTAATAATCTTATTATCAAGCTCAACTAAATTGAAATTAATTCCCCTGAAGG